AAGAGCGTTGATACACATATCAATAATATCTTATTAATATTCTCTTATATCATTATTCTCTTATGTTTGTGAACAAAGACATTGTTTCTCACCTTACCTTATTCCTGCCAATATCCACACCACTCTGTTGTAAATCCATCCGTCTGAAGATGTATTATTATATGCGAGAGTACTTACGGATACTCCTGTCCGCCTTCCTTCGTGTTCGGACATTGTTCATCACGTGTTAATTTCTTTGTGATATACACACACATATGTATGTTTGTATTTGTGTATGTATGTATATATGTACTCACCTATTTGTGCTTGCGGGGGTTGAGCTCTGGCTCTTTGGACTCGCCTCTGAACTGTCAATCAACTAATGTTCAGGTTCCTGAGCCTACTGGGCTCTATCATATCTATATTTGAAGCTGGGTATGGAGTCTGCCTCCATCACTTCACTGCCTAATGCATTCCGTTTGTCAACCACTCTGACACTAAAAAAGTTATTTCTATTATCTTTTTGGCTCATTTGGGCACTCAATTTCCACCTGTGTCCCCTAGTGCGTGTGCCCCTTGTGTTAAATAGCCTGTCTTTATCTACCCTGTCAGTTCCTCTGAGAATCTTGTATGTGGTGATCATATCCCCCCTAACTCTTCTGTCTTCCAGCGACGTGAGGTTTAATTCCAGTAGTCTCTCCTCATAATTCATGCCCCTCAGTTCCGGCACTAATCTGATTGCAAACCTCTGAATCTTCTCCAATTTGGTTTATGCTTGATGAGATTTGGTCTCCATGCTGGAGCTGCATGCTCCTGGATTGGTCTGATATGCGTGGCATACAAGGTTCTGAAGGATTCCTTACACAAGATTCTAAATGATTCCTTACACAAACTTCTAAAGGCCGTTCTTATATTGGCCACCCTGGCATATGCCGCTGATGTTATCCTCTTGATGTGGGCTTCGGGGGATAGGTCTGACGTGATATCAACTCCCAGGTCTTTCTCTCTCTCCGAGTCTAGAAAAATTTAATTTCCAAAATGATACCTTGTATCAGCCTCTAGCTCCCTACACCAATTACATTACAATTGCTCAGGTTAAACTCTAACAGTCATTTGTTGGATCGTTACTTCAGTTTTTCCAGGTCTTCTTGAAGCCTCAAGTTGTTCTTTTCTGTCTTATTCCTTCTGATAATTCTGACATCATCAGCAGACATTGAAAGGAATGAGTCTGTACCCTCTGGAAGATCATTTACGTATATCAGAAACAGGATAGATCCGAGTACAGAACCTTGTGGAACTCAGCTTGTGACTTCACGTTAATCTAAGATCTCACCCCTCACTGTAACTCTCTGCTTCCTATTGCTTAGGTACTCCCTTATTCACTGGAACATCCTACCAGTTACTCTTGCCTGTTTCTCGAACTTATGCACCACCCTCTTATGGGGTACTGTGTCAAAGGCTCTCCGACAGTCCAAAAAAATGCAGTCTTGCAGTCCTTCTCTTTCTTGCTTAATCTTTGTCACCTGATCGTAAAATTCTATTAAACTTGTGAGGCAAGATATACCCTCCCTGAACCCATGTTGATGGGTAGTCACGGAGTCCCTTCTCTCCAGATGTGTTACTAGTTTTTTCTCACGATCTTCTCCATCACCTTGCATGGTATACAAGTTAAAAACACAGGCCTGAAGTTCAATGCCTCTTGCCTGTCACCCTTTTTGAATATTGAGACTACATTAGCCGCCTTCCATATTTCTGGTAAGTCTCCTGTCTTCAGTGACCTATTATACACAGCAGAGAGTGGCAAGCAAAGTACTTCTGCACACTCTTTCAGTAGGGGAGCCGGTGGCTGAGCGGACAGAACACTGGACGCGTGATCCTGTGGTCCCGGGCTCGATCCTGGATGCCGGCGAGAAACAATGGGCACAGTTTCTTTCACCCTGATTCCCCCTGTTACCTAGCAGTAAATAGGTACCTGGGAGTTTGTCAACTGTCACGGGCTGCTTCCTGGGGGTGGAGGCCTGGTCAAGGACCGGGCTGCAGGGGCACTAAGCCCTGAAATCATCTCAAGATAACCTCAAGATAGAGGAACCCATGGTGAGATTCTGTCCGGACCAACAACCTTTCTCACGTCCAGAGAAAACAGATGCCTCTATCTCATCTCTGGATATATCAAAACCTTCCAAGGCCTCCTGGTTTACTGCCACCCCTCCTAGCTCATGGACTTCACCTCGTTCTATTGTGAAGACCTCCTGGAATCTCTTGTTGAGTTCTTCACACACCTCTTTTTCATTCTCTGTGTACCTGTCCTCGCCCGTTTTAAGTTACATCACCTGTTCTTTTCCTACTGATGTGGCAGTGGAGCAGTTTTGGTTCAGTTTTGGCTTCATTTGCTATATCATTTACATACTGTATCTCTGCATCTCTTCTCACACTGACATACTCATTCCTGACTCTCTGGTGTATCTTTCTTTCTGCTTTCTTCTGTTCTGTTATTTCGGAAGTTCCTCTGCCGCCTTTTCTTTCTTTCCTTCCATTGCTTATATACATGTCCTATTAAACTATTGATTCTTCTTTCGCTTCTCATTTTTTTTCTTTAGGGTTGGGATAAACCTGTTTACTGCCTCGTGACACTTTTAATGCACATAGTCCATCATATCTTGTACGGTCTTAGTTCTGAGTTTTGTATCCCACGGTATTTCTTTTTATGAATTTTCTCATCTCCTCATAATTTTCCTTTCGCCAGCCAACAAGTGTTGGCTGGTGTTGCCTTGAACAAAAAACACAAGTGTTTTTAGCCAAGAAAAATGTTGAACAAAAACACTCGCATAATAGACAAAACCCAAGGAACACAAATGCAAACACAAATTGTGTTCCTCATATGTGCCCCAAAGAATGAGGTGATTTGATAAAATGCTGTGCCCAAGATTACCATCAGAGTGCCGGCGGGCTGATGGGCAAATAGCCTCGGCTACCATCAGCTTTTGTCCGGTCGTGATGGTCGAGTGGATAAGGTACCCTGTACACCAGTTGCATAGTGCTCCTGGCAGTTTGGGTTCGAGTCACTTTTGGGGTGTGAGTTTTCAGTTGCATGTATGCCTGGTGACCATTCAGGCTTGTTCGCATTTATATTCCTCACGTGTGCCCCAAAGAATGAGGTGATTTGGTAAAATACTATGCCCAAGATTACCATCAGAGTGCCAGCGGGCTGATGGGTAAATATCATCGGCTACCATCAGCTTTTGTCCAGTCGTGATGGTCGAGTGGATTAGGTGCCCTGTACACCAGTCGCATAGTGCTCCTGGCAGTTTGGGTTCGAGTCACTTTTGGGGTGTGAGTTTTCAGGGTCGCCTGGATGGTATCACAGTGAACCCCTGGAAGAATGGCAAGCAGTTGGTATGGAACTACTCGTGCGTATCAACCCTGGCTAACACCTACATTAACCTCAGTGTTGCACAACCAGGTGGCGCTGCTACCCACAGGGAAGCAGCCAAATCCAGTTAGTATAGAGAACTGGATCACCACTACAATTTTGTCCCCATTGCTTCTGAGACACTCGGCGCCTGGGGTAAAAGTGCTACCAGTTTTTTTAAGGAACTGGGTTCTAGGCTCATTGAAACAACAAGGGACCCAAGAGCTGCAAGCTTTCTTTTCCAGCGCCTCAGTGTGGCAATACAGAGGGGAAATGCGCACTGCATCCAGGATCCAGGGTTCCTGCCCCCCATCTGAGGAGCTGGAGGAACTCGACAACCTATGATAACCATCTTTGTAACCCATATGTAACTCCTTTTTTGTAACAAAGTTCAAATAAAGTAAATATATATGTGTACATACAAAAGAATGGGGGTGGTAGGAGAAGATAATATTAGTGTTCAGTGAGAAACCACAAGGTCTCCTCTGAATACTTTTTATTTTCTTCTCCGAGGCTATGGGTCCCCACATTGGCACCAGAGGTGGTACCCTCACAAACTATATATATATATATATATATATATATATATATATATATATATATATTTATATATATATATATATATATATATATATATATATATATATATATATATATATATATATATATATATATATATATATATATATATATATATATATATATATATATATATATATATATATATATATATATATATATATATATATATATATATATATATATATATATATATATATATATATATATATATATATATATATATATATATATATATATATATATATATATATATATATATATATATATATCGGGAAACCTCTCAAAAGAGGCTTCTTTCATCGGGAAGCGTCTCTTCCCGTAAGACTTGGGGCCTCGGAGTTCGAACAGCAACGCAAATAGCTATACCAGCCTTCCTGTCCTCCTCTTCGGCATCCAACTACCTTGTGAAGTAAATTCTACCTGCCTACTTACATCAGCTGGCAGGCGTACACTATCTCAATTTTACACACTGTGCCACCGAGTGGGCCTCTCGTGCAGGCTCATCACCTCAACCACCATCCTCAAAAGCCCACAAGCAATCCAGTTGGGATGGCCTCATTGTAGACCAAGTTGCTGCAACAACACCACACGACATTGCTTGCCTCACAGCAGTAGCAGCCCCACATGCTGGGGATTTCCTGTTAGCAACCCAAATATCGCTATGTTTCTATGTATAGATTTCCTGATAAAATTTCCTATTTTCTAGATTTGTTGATCATTTCCAGAAAAAAACATAGACATGTCCAAAATAGATCTGGAAAGAATTTATATATATTGTTTTCAAGTCTAGATTCTGGAACAAACTTTTTGGAAAGATGGTTGGTTATTTATGGAAGAAATTACCAGGAAGAATAATAGATGTGGGGTAGACATAAACTAGAGGAAAAAAATCACTTCTGCACTTTTATTTATTCTAATGGTATTAATGATACGGTATGTTGATAGTTGTGTGTGGTAGAGAGAGTAAGTGAACGTCTGGATGGCACTATGATGACACTGGGAAGAATGGTTCTATGGGAACGACACTCACCGTCATGGTGCCAGCAGCTGGAGTGCCGCTGGTGATGGATCCTGCTCCGGGATGCTGCTCCCCTTGCTCCCTTCCTGCCAATGTAGAAACAACAATTAAAATCACAACTATGCAGCCGGGCACAGGCTTTTAATCTTGATTCGACCAGTGTACCTGATATCTCAACCTGTCCTCTTTCTAATAGCATCGCTTTTCATTCGTATGCACTACGGTCAAAAAATACCGTAATAGAAAATGGAAATTAATTTTCCAAATGAAATGAACCCAAAACAGCAAGTTTTGTGTCCTCTTGTAGGTTAGGAGAGCAGCAAGTTCTCCTAAGGTTTCAAAATGTCATGAAAGCTATTAATTTAAGTGTCCTTTCCTAACCTAAGAGACTAAGCGAGAGGACCCAAAACAGAAAACTGGACAGTACGTCACTTTCGCGAGCCACATCTACTTCCTATTATGGTAATTTTTAGCTTTAGTGCGCATACATGCGAAAAACGACGTTATTTGTAAGAGGACGGGTTGGATATCTAGTTCCCTGAGTTTTTTCTTACTTTCTTTAGAATCCCAGTATGCATCCTGTGTTGTTACCTCGAACCGAGTTTGGCGCTTATTCTTCTGGTCCCGTGCCACGTCGACCAGTTTACCTGCCCTGTGGCAAGCCTGTGCTCAGACCACTAGTGTTCCAGCCGAGACTTGCATCATGGGCAACTTGAATGTTTGCCACCATTCATTCATTCAATTGGGAAATGTGTTCTCGACAGTAATTGGTGTAGATTTTTTGTAAAACAATTTACAATAGCAATCTTAATGAAACATGCAAATGAACATGTCACCAGTTCCAGTCTCAACGCAAGAAATGTCTCGCATAATTAAGTAATGTTTAATAATGTCTCTTGATTCTCCTCTCCTCCGGTGATGTGATTTATCTCTCTAGACCATTCTTAGTTGCTCTCGGATAAAAAAATAAAAGATTTAGTCACATCCGCGCTTGACAATGTGATCAGTCCATGCAGATCATGCACACTCGATTGTTTATCCCATGATTAAACTATCAGGGTCCTGAAATGCTTATTGTAAGGGTCCTAAAAGTATATGGCTCCTAAAAGCTGATGGGACATGTAATTTAGTGATCGTGTCAGCAGACATTTAGGGAATCGTGTTTAACTCAGGAAAATTTCGTTATATTTCATTATTTTAAAGTTGGTAAGATTAAACTTTAAACTTGCTGGATTACTCCAGCAAGTAACTATTAGAGTTTATTTAAGCTGTCTACAGCTTTAAAATACATAGTTTTACCCCATCTGTAAACATTGAAATTAAGAACTGTTTAGTTGTTTCTTAGTTAATGATACATGTATCATATTCAGTATGTGGTCCAAGAACCACCCCTTGGGGGAATATTGCTTGTTACCTGTTACAAGTTCTTGTCCTCTAGCTTTTAGTAATAAAACCCTTTCCTAATGAAAATAAAATCACGTAGGTTTATTATCTTCCTGTTTTATTTGTCTCACTTCCCAGCCCGTTCACTAGATTTACCACTCAGTAAAAATATAATTGTTTTGCTTCACTAGCAACATCATGGCCGCTGAACAAATCCACAAGGGCCGTGACAAGGATTCGAACCTGCGTCCGGGAGCATCCCAGACTCTGCCTTAATCGACTGAGCTACGACAGGGGAAAAAGAGTTGAAACCGAAATTCTACTGAACTTACTAGTAAGTTCAGTAGAACTTCGGTTTCAACTCTTTTACCCTGTCGTAACTCAGTCGATTAAGGCAGTGTCTGGGATGCTCACGGACGCAGGTTCGAATCCTCGTTACGGCCCTTGTGGATTTGTTTATTTGATGCATCACGTTAGTGTGATTTCTGTGTGTAATCAAGGATGCTCCATAGACAACGATACTATTACAGTGATTTAATAATTTACTAATACGTCGCTCTTTAGCGGATTAATCGAATCTACAAAAATGCCCATACGAGTTGTGGATGAAGGGCTTCCCCTCTATGTGTCGTGTTTCCGTGTGTATGCATATGTCGGTGTAATTCCTCTAAATAAAGATGAAAATCGCCATGGAGTTCGGCAACACTCACCTCCTTTTACCAGTATTAGGTCTGGTTCCCGCTGAAGCCTGTCGAAGCCCCCATCGTCGCAGCTCTTGGCGTGAGACGCCGCCTTGTCGTACACGGCCCCTGGCTGGTTGCAAGCCAGGTTGTGGCTGTGGTTCCTGCTGCGGGTGAGGCGGCTGCGGATCACTAGCGCCAGCACCACCGAACACAGCACCAGGGAAGCCACGGCTCCCGCCACCACCGCAACTATCGGCGCCACCGTCAACAGGTTCAGATCGACTCCGAAGGACTCTGCTGCGGCTGCGCTGGTACGCCTCTCGGCGACGTCTATGGGCGTGTGGTGGAGGAGGACCGTTGCTGTGGCGGCTCCTTGGGAGTTCGAGGCTCCGACGGAGAGCTGGTACTCCGTCCCAGGGGCGAGGCCAGTCACCGTGAAGTGGGGCTTGGTGTGCTGCTGCTCCTGGGCCCCCACCACCACCCCCGCCTCACCAGACGACTTCAACTGGCGCACCTCCAGCGTGAAGGTCTGCGTGAGGCCGCCGCTCCAACCGGCCTCGCACGATACCACCACCTCCCCAGCGGCGCTGGCGTTGTGCCACACGCTGCAGTTGTGCACCGGCTCCGGCACAGCTGTTGGCACACGTTAGGACATTACACGAATACAACAAAATCTCTCGCAATGGCTGTTTGTCTTCATTGTGAAGACCATGTTTTATATTTAGGTATGAGTGGGAGTGGCGGAAGGGGGGGAGGGTTGGGGAGGGGGGTATCCGGCTTGTGCCTCGGTCTCTCTCACCTCCTCCACAATTCTGTCTTGCATCCCTTTCCTTATCCTTTCGTCTTCCCAGTATTAGAAGAACTGGGAAGCGAGGGAAAATGTTTTCAATTCTGTAACCATCTTCACTTCACAACCATCATGATTATATAAATTTTAACCACAAAAGACCATCACAAATCATACTTACATCACACTATCATCCTCACTATAACCATCTTAGCTATTCACAACTATCGTCACTGAAACTAACGACTACACTCACAACCTGCGACGATCTACACTACACACGACCATCCTCATCAATGTAACTATCTTCACTATATATTGTCTTCATCTCTGTAACCTTCATTACTACCCAGGTGGCGCTGGGTTCCCCATCAATGACTTTCCCAACTCTTCACCATCTTCTCTACCCTTCACAACCTTCCCAACCCTTTACCACATTCCCCACTACCACTCTCCATCACCTTCCCTAAACTTCACCCTCTTTCCTATGTTTCACCATCTTCTCCACCTTCACCATCTTCCCCACGCTGTCACCTTCTCTACTCTTCACCACTTTCTCTTCGTCACTGTTACTGTCTTTAATGTACACACTTTTCATCCATTAATAAACTTCATAAGGCAAACTAATATATAATCATGATAAAAATAATATGCTTAATGAATCTTGGAGAGGATGGAGTCTGGTATTTAGCGAGGCGGATAGGGAAAATATTAAACATGGAATTAACCATATATTAGATGGGATGTTGTGAAGTCACTGTTGGCCGCGACCCCGACTAGCCTATGTCCGTCCCGTACCCCAGACCATTCATTCAGGCGTCTGGCTTCCAACCTTGCACTGACAGACATCCTCCCTTATGTGTATATGCATTAAATAACTTTCTTTGTGTCTTCCATTTTGAGTTACCTGTATTATGGACGTAGTAACATATTCAGTCTTCATTGATAGTCAGTAACAGATCGTCACTGATGACAGAGGTTGTCAAACAAAATGAAAACCTTTTGGACACAAATATTCAACACCACAAACAAAAACAAATACAAGTATACGTGTATAAAGAATAAAGAATAATATTTATTAAATTTGAATAAAAAGTTACGCTAGACACGTCAGGCCCTCCACCTCCCCCAGGGCCCCCAAACACCCCACTGCCCCCACACTCACCCGCCGGGACGACCAGGTAGACGCAGGGTTTGGGCTGCGGGCCCACCTCGTTGACGGCCCAGCAGAGCAGCGTGCCGAAGTCGTGGTGCGTCTTGGGCGTGTAGGCCATCACGCTGCGGTTACGGTGGAAGTGTGTGCGGTTCTTGGGGATGTAGACCACTTCGGTGGAGGTGTTGAAGGCCCAGCGGAAGGTGTGGGCCTCCGGGTGGGCGTCGACGCCGCAGCTGACGTTAACTTGTTGTCCGCGGGCACTGCCGTAGGTCCACTTCTGTTGCTCCGAGCACACTGGCGAGACTGACGAGTAGGAAGGGGGGGGGGGAGGGGTAATTTATTTGTGGGTATGAACAAATAAAGTGCAAATACACTCACACAAAACCATATCCTTACAACAAACCCCGAATTCCTTCATACACAGACATACTCCTCCACACCCATCCCATATACACAGACATACTCCTCCACACCCATCCCATATACACACGACACATTCCACCCCCCCCCCCCCCAACACCTAACACACGAATCCCTTATAAGCAAATCTTCTTTCGGCACTAAAGCTTCACTAATAGAAGAAAAAGACGAGGTGTGATCAAGACATCCAAAATATTCAATGGAATTGCCAAGGTTAACAATGACAGGCTATTTGAAAGTGCTGTAAATTAACCAAGATTAGACATGTGGAAACTAAGTAAACTAATGATCCACAAACATGTTAGAAATAATTTGTATTATTTTCAGAGCAATAATTAAGTGGAGAATCCTAGAGAGTGAAGTTAGACTCAGACTCAGACTGAGACGTCAGGCTCCACTTTAGATATTGATGCGAAATACCTACATGCAGTTCTGACAGGCAGTCTGTTGAATATAGACAGGTGGAATTCTGGATTTTAAGTAAGTATTGCATGTAGAGTGAGGACGGAGTAACTCAATTACCTCCGGCAAAACCTCCAAGCGTAACGTATATACTGGAGCTGAGGCTCATTGTCCAATACAGACGCAGCTCGTCCTACTTCCTTACATTAAAATAAAAGGAAACTCCACCAACTATCACCTGGGAAAGGGAGGCAGCTACCTTTGTTGTAGACTACTTCATAGAAACACCATTAAAAGTTGTGTCAGATTATCGCTGACCACCTGTCTTCGGTACTCACACTGCATGCCAGCTTACCTGATACCTGCTCCTGGTTTTCTGCAAAACGTTGTTAAGTCTCTACTCTCCATATCTCTCCCACAATCTTATATTCTAGCTAGCTAGTGCCCAGACCCACTTTTCTAAACCGTCCTCACCCCAAGGTCGCCAAGGCAGGGAGCAATAATAATTAATATGCTCCAGTATAAATTTACTTGGAAAAATGACGTATATATACAACAAAATTCACAGCTCTCTACCCTCTGTAGTAATCAATAAAAACATATGCATTTAAACATACGACATTTATGGTATGTTATTATGCCGTTACTGTTAAAATTCGATATCTCTACAGCTCCAATAAACTCTAAGCCTAATCTATTCTGGCTTGCTTAGTCCCCTTTAATATACAAATTAAGTAGCTGTTATTTCCTCAACACAAATTGATCACATCAATACTTGTCTCATACTAACAATCACAGTAATATAAATATTCTTTTGGTTGCTAGTATCCTACTGCAGGTCAACTCTACGTGAATATATTATCTCAGTAATAATAATGTCATAAGTGTCTACTCGTCACAGCCTAACGTGGTTCATTTTAAAGAGTCAATACAACTTGACATCTTATAAGAATATATAAATGTCACATATATAAATGGATATATATCTTTTTCCAGCCTTACATAGCCACTCACTGCGTCATTTATTCCATATAACCTGCCTAGAAATAATCAGATCCATCGTAATAATTTATTATGCAAAGAAATAGATTTCTCCCTTTTGTCATCATAGGAAGTTTAGGCTACAAGCTACGTAAGATTTCAGTCATTAATCATTCAAATATATTCATATGGAATGTAAACGGATTTATCTCCTCGAGACCTGTTCAGATATGTTCTTATTTCCCCACCCAAACAAAGGATAACTCTCGTTTCACTAAATTTTATCTTCTTATCTAGAACAATGATGTCTACATTTCGTCTGGTTGGTAACGCCAGGCAACTTCTGGGGCAGTAGTCAGTTGCTCCACAAGTGTGGCGTCGCCCGCCGCGCTGGTCGTTTAACCCAGCAGTCTAGGCATGTCAAACTGAGGGTCCCCAGAGGGCCATATGGGTCACATTTGTGATGTCATGAGGGCCACACACCATAGTTTAACAAAAGAAAAATAAATATTTAAAACGGCAGCATAGACTTCTATGCAACAGCAACAAATACATTGTACAAAAATTACAACTTGAACAAATAATAAATATATATACAAAATGAACATATATTTACAACTATTTAATATGTTTTAGTATTTTGTCGTGAGGCTTGATACTTCTTTTTAATGATAATTTGTGCTGTCTGGCTGAAATATCTGTGCAGGTCTCAGTTTGATCAGAAATGACAAGTGTGGATCAGTCAGCCTTGTTCTCTGAGAGGTTTTTGTTGATTTCATGAGGGAAAATAACTGATCACACACATAGGTAGAACCGAACATTGTCATAATCCTTGTGGCAAACTTTCTGAAGTTTCTAAATTTTCAGGTAAGTATGAAAAGAAACCAGGTATCCTCACTTCAAGATACTTTGCTCTGAGTGTAGAATCCGACTACATTTCTAATAGTGCTATCTGTAGGCTTCCTTCTGCCTTGCCAACATCAAAGGTGAATGGTGCCGAGAATAATGCAAAGTGGTGTTCAAAAGATGAGAAATCACGAAATCTTTCATGAAATTCCTTTGACAACAATTCCAGGTGACTGTCATACTTAACAAAGCAAACTAAAGACTTAGTATTGGCTTTATTTTTCAGCTGACAAATGTGACTTCCATAAGCTTAGTCTTGTAATGAAGCATTTAATGTCATCATACAACTGAGTAATGAGTTTGTTTTTACCTTGCAATTTCAAATTAAGATAAGTTAATTGTGCAGTAATGTTCACAGCAAAAGCCAGATCCTGGGGCCAATTTTTATATTTTATTTCCTCTATGTTTTGACCTTCCATTCCCCTCCCTTTCCTGCCCGTTGTCGTCATGAGTGGGGGTTGGTGGGTCCTGCCGGGGTGTGATGCTCCTTGGGACAGTCCTCTGTCCTTTTGAAGCCTTATGATCCTGCTGTCGTCTTCACAAATTGTGCTGGATGCCTTTTCTTCTTCCTTATTTTTCACCCCCCCCCCTCCCCCTCTTCTCTCTGATTGTCATTTCATACCGACTTTTTGCCATTCTTGATTATTCATTCAGATGTCTTCTGTTTTGACGCCAGATGCTTGGGGAGCCACACTCTCTCACCCGTAAAACTGTGGTACCCGACATTGCAAGTGAGGGGACACTTTTATTGTCAATCTTTGCCTTCGTTGATCTCGACGGACTGACGGTTTTAAGGTGGCGATTGTAAGGGTTTATACCTACGATGTACCCATGTAGGGCCCCATCTTGTCGGGTGTCCTATCCTATAATTATGGCACTAAGATGGGTATGGGGGTTTATTCATCGATTAAATTTTTACCTGTTCGTTTATATGCCGATGTCTGACTCTCTTTTAACTTCTCAGGCTTGTCGGGTGGGCGACCAAGCTCCGAGTCAGACTGTGATAGAAGGCCAGGCTCTGTAGCCTCTGCTACATTGGGTCCAGACCAAGCTGTTTCTCTGGCTCTCCCGACTGACCCTCTCTGCTCCACTCCCACCTGTGTGGCAGAGTTGAGCCCCAAGCCCCCAGTGGTGACCACCTCATCACCTGGAGTGGCTCCATCTCTCATTGTAACAACTGCATCTTTTAGCCCCCTTCTTATTGGGGGGTACTCGGAGCCGTCACGTCTGCAATCGCATGCGCACACTTCCTTTCAGTTCTACTACATTCCAAGTTATGTTTGGTCCTGGTACATGGACTAAGTATTATGATCTCAGTCATGAGGACTCTACACGTCCTGATGATTTACTAATTCATAAACATCTAGTTGATTCGGTGGATACTTTTGTTACTTTCATCCCCACCCGAATGGGTACACATGTCGTTTCAATGGGTACACAGCCGCTTCCTTCTCAGGAAGCGGCTGCCCACTTAGCCCCGATGTCCAGCATTGGTGAGACCCCTGTTCAGATCTCCAAAAGTGCCTGGTTAAATGCCAGCATTGGCACAGTTATTCTCCCACATCATGTTGTGACTGGTGATAGGGAACTGAAAGACTGCCACAAGAATATTAAACTTATCCTTGAGGCCCAAGGCCATTCTATCCTCCAGATTGATATGTTACGACCCTCCCCCCTCCCCGCACGAGGGGGGGTCACTCGACCCCCTCGTGGTCATCGTCGTCAGCCTCTTCACATAGTGAAGATCACTTTTGATAGTAGGTCTCTTCCGTCTTCTGTAATTCTTGCTTGATGCTAGATGCCTTTTGGTAATTCTGGTAATTCGTGCCAGATGCTCCATTCAGGAGTACATTTCCTCTCCTCGCCTCTTCAATAGGTGCTGGAGATTTGGGCATGGTTCATTCACATGCACAAGTAAGGTATCTCTATGCCCCTAGTGTGGAGACTTAGGTCATTCTAAGACAGAGTGCTCTTCTTCCCAAGCTCACTACATTAATTGCGGTGATGCCCACCCTACCTTCTCCCAAGCTTGTGTGCACTTCAAATTTAAGGAAGCCATCCTCAATTTGAAACATCACGATCATCTGTCTTTTCCTTAGGCGAGACGCCAAGTACGCAGTCTTCCCTCTTTTTCTGGCATGCCTTATACTTGTGTGTTGCGTTCCACTTCTCCTCACTCTCTCCCACTTTCTTTGTTTTGCAATCGTTTCCCGGACACCTCCACCACCACCTCACCTGCTCCTTTGCGTTCTGAAGCTGAGCTGTCTGGTTCACCATCTGGTGATTCCTTCCTTCCTTCGCAGTCTTCTCTGTCTCCTAATCCCTCTTTTCCTTCTCTTCCCAGTTTTTCTTCTCTGCCCTCCCCCTCTGTATTTTGGCCCTCCCCACCGTCTGTCCACCAGGCCATTGTCTATCCTCCTCCCAGCCATTTCCATGTTGCCAGCTCTCATTCTCCTTCATCAGTTGATACTGGCGAGGCTGTCGCCCAGTACATTGCTGCTGGTACACCTGTTTCTTTACGTCAGAAACATAAGCCATGCTCCTCTTCTTCCTCCCCGGCAAGTAAGAAGGCATCACTCTCTTCCTCACCTTCC